ATACCTGTACTTTCTACTTCTTACATGTTGAACCCAAATACCTGTACTTTCTACTTCTTACATGTTGAACTCAAATACCTGTACTTTCTACTTCTCACATGTTGAACTCAAATACCTGTACTTTCTACTTCTTACATGTTGAACTCAAATACCTGTACTTTCTACTTCTTACATGTTGAACTCAAATACCTGTACTTTCTACTTCTCACATGTTGAACCCAAATACCTGTACTTTCTACTTCTCACATGTTGAACTCAAATACCTGTACTTTCTACTTCTTACATGTTGAACTCAAATACCTGTACTTTCTACTTCTTACATGTTGAACTCAAATACCTGTACTTTTACTTCTTACATGTTGAACTCAAATACCTGTACTTTCTACTTCTTACATGTTGAACACAAATACCTGTACTTTCTACTTCTTACATGTTGAACTCAAATACCTGTACTTTTTACTTCTTACATGTTGAACTCAAATACCTGTACTTTCTACTTCTTACATGTTGAACTCAAATACCTGTACTTTCTACTTCTTACATGTTGAACTCAAATACCTGTACTTTCTACTTCTTACATGTTGAACACAAATACCTGTACTTTCTACTTCTTACATGTTGAACTCAAATACCTGTACTTTCTACTTCTTACATGTTGAACTCAAATACCTGTACTTTTTACTTCTTACATGTTGAACTCAAATACCTGTACTTTCTACTTCTTACATGTTGAACTCAAATACCTGTACTTTCTACTTCTTACATGTTGAACACAAATACCTGTACTTTCTACTTCTTACATGTTGAACTCAAATACCTGTACTTTCTACTTCTTACATGTTGAACTCAAATACCTGTACTTTCTATTTCTTACATGTTGAACTCAAATACCTGTACTTTCTACTTCTTACATGTTGAACTCAAATACCTGTACTTTCTACTTCTTACATGTTGAACCCAAATACCTGTACTTTCTACTTCTTACATGTTGAACTCAAATACCTGTACTTTCTACTTCTTACATGTTGAACTCAAATACCTGTACTTTCTACTTCTCTCATGTTGAACTCAAATACCTGTACTTTCTACTTCTTACATGTTGAACTCAAATACCTGTACTTTCTACTTCTCACATGTTGAACTCAAATACCTGTACTTTCTACTTCTTACATGTTGAACTCAAATACCTGTACTTTCTACTTCTTACACTTTGAACACAAATACCTGTACTTTCTACTTCTTACACTTTGAACACAAATACCTGTACTTTCTACTTCTCACATGTTGAACACAAATACCTGTACTTTCTACTTCTTACTTTGAACACAAAACCTGTACTTTCTACTTCTTACATGTTGAACACAAATACATGTACTTTTCTACTTCTTACATGTTGAACACAAATACCTGTACTTTTCTACTTCTTACACTTTGAACACAAATACCTGTACTTTCTACTTCTTCTACATGTTGAACACAAATACCTGTACTTTCTACTTCTTACACTTTGAACACAATACCTGTACTTTCTACTTCTTACATGTTGAACACAAATACATGTACTTTCTACTTCTCTACATGTTGAACTCAAATACCTGTACTTTCTACTTCTTACATGTTGAACACAAATACCTGTACTTTCTACTTCTCACATGTTGAACACAAATACCTGTACTTTCTACTTCTTACATGTTGAACTCAAGTACCTGTACTTTCTACTTCTTACATGTTTAACTCAAATACCTGTACTTTCTACTTCTTACATGTTGACTCAAATACCTTGTACTTTCTACTTCTTACATGTTGAACCAAATACCTGTACTGTACTTTCTACTTCTTACATGTTGAACTCAAATACCTGTACTTTCTACTTCTTACATGTTGAACTCAAATACCTGTAACTTTTTTCTTCTTACATGGTGAACTCAAATACCTGTACTTTCTACTTCTTACATGTTGAACACAAATACCTGTACTTTCTACTTCTTACATGTTGAACTCAAATACCTGTACTTTACTTCTTACATGTTGAACTCAAATACCTGTACTTTCTAACGTCTTACATGGTTGAACTAAATACCTGTACTTTCTACTTCTTACATGTTGAAACTCAAATACCTGTACTTTCTACTTCTTACATGTTGAAAACACAATACCTGTACTTTCTACTTCTTACATGTTGAACTCAAATACCTGTACCTTTCTACTTCTTACATGTTGAACTCAAATACCTGTACTTTCTTCTACTTCTACATGTTGAACTCAAATACCTGTACTTTCTACTTCTTACATTGTTGACACAAATACCTGTACTTTCTACTTCTTACATGTTGAACCCAAATACCTGTACTTTCTACTGCTTACATGTTGAACTCAAATACCTGTACTTTCTACTTCTTACATGTTGAACTCAAATACCTGTACTTTCTACTGTCTTACATGTTGAACTCAAATACTGTACTTATTACTACCTTACTTCTACTTCTTACATGTTGAACTCAAATACCTGTACTTTCTACTTCTTACATGTTGAACTCAAATACCTGTACTTTCTACTTCTTACATGTTGAACTCAAATACCTGTACTTTCTACTTCTTACATGTTGAACTCAAATACCTGTACTTTCTACTTCTTACATGTTGAACTCAAATACCTGTACTTTCTACTTCTTACATGTTGAACTCAAATACCTGTACTTTCTACTTCTTACATGTTGAACTCAAATACCTGTACTTTCTACTTCTTACATGTTGAACTCAAATACCTGTACTTTCTACTTCTTACATGTTGAACTCAAATACCTGTACTTTCTACTTCTACATGTTGAACTCAAATACCTGTACTTTCTACTTCTTACATGTTGAAACCCAAATACCTGTACTTTCTACTTCTACATGTTGAACTCAAATACCTGTACTTTCTACTTCTTACATGTTGAACTCAAATACCTGTACTTTCTACTTCTTACATGTTGAACCCAAATACCTGTACTTTCTACTTCTTACATGTTGAACCCAAATACCTGTACTTTCTACTTCTTACATGTTGAAACCAAATACCTGTACTTTCTACTTCTCAACATGTTTGAACTCAAATACCTGTACTTTCTACTTCTTACATGTTGAACTCAAATACCTGTACTTTCTACTTCTTACATGTTGAACACAAATACCTGTACTTTCTACTTCTTACATGTTGAACTCAAATACCTGTACTTTCTACTTCTTACATGTTGAACTCAAATACCTGTACTTTCTATTTCTTACATGTTGAATTCAAATACCTGTACTTTCTACTTCTTACATGTTGAACACAAATACCTGTACTTTCTACTTCTTACATGTTGAACTCAAATACCTGTACTTTCTACTTCTTACATGTTGAACTCAAATACCTGTACTTTCTACTTCTTACATGTTGAACTCAAATACCTGTACTTCTACTTCTTACATGTTGAACTCAATCCAATACCTGTACTTTCTACTTCTTACATGTTTGAACCCAAATACCTGTACTTTCTACTTCTTACCTGTTGAACTCAAATTCCTGTACTTTCTACTTCTTACATGTTGAAACTCAAATACCTGTACTTTCTATTTCTTACATGTTGAAACCGCAATACCTGTACTTTCTACTTCGCACATGTTGAAATCAAATACCTGTACTTTCTGACTTCTCACATGTTGAACTCAAATACCTGTACTTTCTACTTCTTACATGTTGAACTCAAATACCTGTACTTTCTACTTCTCACATGTTGAACTCAAATACCTGTACTTTCTACTTCTTACATGTTGAACTCAAATACCTGTACTTTCTACTTCTTACATGTTGAACTCAAATACCTGTACTTTCTACTTCTTACATGTTGAACCCCAAATACCTGTACTTTTTCTACTTCTTACATGTTGAACTCAAATACCTGTAACTTTCTACTTCTCACATGTTGAACTCAAATACCTGTACTTTCTACTGCTCTTACATGTTGAAACTCAAATACCTGTACTTTCTACTTCTTACATGTTGAACCCAAATACCTGTACTTTCTACTTCTTACATGTTGAACCCAAATACCTGTACTTTCTACTTCTTACATGTTGAACCCAAATACCTGTACTTTCTACTTCTTACATGTTGAACCCAAATACCTGTACTTTCTACTTCTCTCATGTTGAACTCAAATACCTGTACTTTCTACTTCTTACATGTTGAACTCAAATACCTGTACTTTCTACTTCTTACATGTTGAACTCAAATACCTGTACTTTCTACTTCTTACATGTTGAACTCAAATACCTGTACTTTCTACTTCTTACATGTTGAACTCAAATACCTGTTACTTTCTACTTCTCTCATGTTGAACTCAAATACCTGTACTTTCTACTTCTTACATGTTGAACTCAAATACCTGTACTTTCTACTTCTCACATGTTGAACTCAAATACCTGTACTTTCTACTTCTTACATGTTGAACTCAAATACCTGAACTTTCTACTTCTTACATGTTGAACTCAAATACCTGTACTTTCTACTTCTCTCATTTTCCAAACAGCTGGTTCCTTTAGTCTGAATGTGTGTTTGATGCGTGATCATTATTCTTTAGAGTCATTGCGTGCCTATTGATTTGAACACGATCCGTGTATCCATCATTTCCTGGTCTTCTCTAAAGAAGAGGGACCAATGGAAACGTTGTCATGTTGCCGTTGTTCAGCATGGAAACATTCATTAGCTAACAATGACATTATTGTTCTATTAATATAAAGGGAGGTCAGGTACTCTTTAAAGCAGCTGCTAGTTATGGGTACTTTTTACTGAAGTACATTTCAAAGCCTCTTTACTTTTACTTTAATAAAGAAGTTTAGTCAGTACTTCTACTTTTACCAGAGTATTTTTAAACACGAGTATCTGTACTTCTACTTGAGTAAAGGATGTGTGTACTTTTGCCCTCTCTGGTTATATGAATGTGCTGTTATTCAGTGTATAAAGTGTGTGTACGTACAGGATCCACACCAGGCTGTTGTGCAGGTCGGGGTCCACAGACTCCATGTCGTCCAGAGTGATGGGTTTCCCCAGCAGCTGTTTGTAGAACGGCAGCGTGAAGCCCCCGTCGATGTAGTGACCGTGAAACACCGCCATGCCCATGATCCGCCCCACGAAGTGGAAGTACGACAGATGCTCCTGAAGGGGAGGAACGCGGTCCGTTAACGAGCAATACAGAGGAGAGTTAACAGCTGAAGGGACTGATGATAAAGTGTAGGAGTCCATTTACTCCAGAGGCCTATACTACGAAGCTGGTTCAACCTAACCTGGATATGTTTGAGTTAGCCGGTTGGCCTAATCCAAAACATACGCGCTCTCGCTAAACGGTCCTACGACGCTGGTTATCAAGTGGATCGCTCAAGCCAGCCGTGTCCTATCTAGTTAGGCGTTCACATGAGAGGGGTGGTCTCTGGAGCATTCGACCAATCACAAACATGGAGAAGCGTACTGACAGCGCAGCGTCATACTTCCTGAATGAAAAGTGAACTTTAATATTAGACATATGAAGAAGTTAAACTTTAAACATCCATGACTTAAACACTTGATCCAGGATCAAAGCCACACAGCTGCACCTGCAAGGTGAACACAGCTGGGAACAGAACAAGTGTTTGAATGCGTACATTAACAGCTTTATGATATCACTGCCCGTCTAAAACACCATCTGACTTTCATTACATTTGACTCCAGTGTTTCGTCAACTTAATGTGTTGCTTAAAATAATACTTCTGCATACAGTATGTGACACTGTGAGTGTTGCACGGCCAGATACGGCTCAGCTGACTCAGATAAGAAAATATATGATACATTATGAAGTGATAAGACGCGGACTGTACTTAATGTGACTCTGATCCGGTTACTTATGGTGTGGCAGATATTTCAGAAAGCTTTCTTAACGCTAATGTTATAATAGTCAGATTGCTCTGAAGATGGAGGTGATATTCTATTCATGTTCACGTTCACACAGCCGCTGATTTGAACTGCAACGAGAGTTTAAACTGTATTTCCTTTCTCCTGTAATATGACTTGATCGCTTTAAACTCTGCACACCGTTGTTATCAGCTGTTCCACCACGGTTTCTACCTCAACCTGTAATAGATGTATCCTCATTGAAACGGTTACATTCAATGAAAAATAAAATCAATGTGCAGGCTTACGTGAACACTGTTCTACATGAACAATATGGGCAGTTTATACATTAAATGAATCAACAGTATAGTGGCGATATGCTCCAAGTGGAAGCGATTCGCCATTAAAGCAAAGAAGAAGAACTCAGCACAGTTGATCTCTTATCCTGGAACCTATCCTGCTCCGGCGCAGGCTAGCCGTTCAGCATAAGTTATCTAGCCCGCTAAAAAGTGAACCAGCGTCGTAGTATAGGCCCCGGGGGAGATTAGGTTTACAGGCTGTCGCTCTATTGTAGAATTAAATAAATGATACGAAGAAAAGTGTAATAATAATAAAAAAATTAAATGTGGAAAACGTTTTATATTAACTTGAACACAAAAAGTGCTTCACATTTATATATTGATTGATTGATAGTAAAATAAATAAATTACAAAACAATTTTTTTTGCAGTGCAGTCATGTAATAGAAAACAAAACAAAGTGACATTTACAACAACAACAACAACAACAACAACAACAGCATTAGCAACATAAACAGTCCCACGACTGTGGCTGCGAGGGGAGTGCGGTCGTCTTTCAACCAGAAGGTTGTGGGTTCGATCCCAGCCCATGCAGTCAACATGTCGATGTATCCTTGGGCAAGATACTTAACCCCGAGTTGCTCCCGATGGCCAACGGTGTGTGAATGTGTGTGAATGTTAGGTCCTAGAGCAAGTGGTACTGCTCTGTATGAATGGGTGTGAATGGGTGAATGACATGTAGTATGTAAAGCGCTTTGAGGGGTCGTAAAGACTGGATAAAGCGCTATATAAGTACAGTCCATTTACCATTTACATCTAGTTTGTGTAAAATAAATGATGAATAAAAAGGACTCAATTACGGTCATGGAACCACTGAATAATGACACTTGAGACAATGAGCTTCTTAGCGGCGATAGAAGCAGTCTCAGTATTCGCTTCAGGTCTGATCGCGCTCACCAACAATTCTACAAAACGGGATCGAAGAAACCCTTCTGAATGTTTGTTTAAAGAAACATAACATCTGGCTATAATGTGAGTATTTTCTGGTTGTTGTGAACGACTGAGACTCACAGGGTTGACGGCGGAGTCGGGGTTGATCTGCAGAGTGTAGATGTCATCTCGTGAATACTGGAAGAGTCCGTAGTACGGGTTCAGCATCTCATGAGACAGCAGGTACAGCCACTCCCTGCACACAGAGGAGATATGAAGTACAACACAGAGGATGCTACGGGGGCATCAGAGTCAGGAAGAAGACGTTACACAAAATAAACTCAAGTGAGAGAGGTGTGTTCTCTGGTTCCTCCACCAGGGGGCAGCAGAGTGACAGCTTTTACAGAGTGTGTGTTTCAACGCCTCTCTCTTTTGTTCTACTGCTGCTCACCTGGCCACTCCTCCGTAATCCAGCCCCTCCTCTGCTCTGAACTTCACCATTAGCCTTTTCCACAAGTCCTTCGGCCTCATCTTCATCACCTGGCGATACGACTCCTGCAGCACAGATGCAAAGAAACATCGTTAGAGAAACAGTCAACAGCTGTTTTACTTTACTGACCTCTTTGCTGCAGACAATTTTCAATTTGCAACTAACGATCCATTTTCATTGTCCTGGGGGGTGTACTACGAAGCAGGATGTTCTCTTAGCGGCTAAATTCAGGGGAAACTCCGGCTTTCCGGTCCTACGAAGCTGGTTCTCTTTTTAGCAGGCTAGATCTCCATGGTAACTTATGCTTAGCGGCTAACCTGGTCGGGACCAGGTTAGGTTGCAGGCTAAGAGCTCAACTCAGTGAAAGCACTGCCTGCTGACCAATCAGAGCTCAGTGTGCGGAGTTTAAAGCGATCAAGTCATATTACAGGAGAAAGGAAATACAGAAAAGCTGCCGTCGCAGGAAAGACGGCCGGCAAAAATCACCGACTGTGTGAACGTGAACATTAATAGAATATCAGCTCCATCTTCAGAGCAATCTGACTATTATAACATTAGCGTTAAGAAAGCTTACTGAAATATCTGCCACAACATAAGGAACCGGATCAGAGTAACATTACTTACAGTCCGCGGCACTGTGAGTGCAGACGTCGATGTGTCCCATTATCATTCATATCACTTCATAATGTATCATATATCTCCTGATCTGAGTCAGCTGAGCCGTATCTGGCCGTGCAACACTCACAGCGTCACAGACTGGATGCAGAAGTATTATTTTAAGCAACACATTAAGTTGAGGAAACACTCGAGTCAAATGTAATGAAAGTCAGATGGTGTCTTAGACGGGGCAGTGATATCATAAACCTGTTAATGTACGCATTCAAACTCTTGTTCTGTTCCCAGCTGTGTTCACCTTGCAGGTGCAGCTCTGTGGCTTTGATCCTGGATCAAGTGTTTAAGTCATGGATGTTTAAAGTTTAACTTCTTCATATGTCTAATATTATAGTGGACTTTTCATTCAGGAAGTATGACGCTGCGCTGTCAGTGCGCTTCTCCATGTTTGTGATTGGTCGAATGCTCCAGATACCACCCCTCTCATGTGAACACCTAACTAGATAGGAAACGGCTGGCTTGAGCGATCCACTTGATAACCCGCGTCGTAGGACCGCTTAGCGAGAGCGCGTATGTTTTGGATTAGGCCAACCGGATAACTCAAACATATCCAGGTTAGGTTGAACCAGCTTCGTAGTACAGGCCCCTGATATCATTCAATCGTTTTCTGTTATTGTTGTTGACTGATCTAAGATATGTCGATCTGTGTTTTCCAAAGTCTAAGATGCCTCTCTCCAATGTTGTTTTGTAAACATCAAATTAGAGATTTGTTTTCCAATTAATTGTCAAGGAGGAGTAAAAAAATACATTTTCACAAATCCGGAATCAGAGAATTACATTCTTTATTTCGTTGTTTTTACAAAACAATGTAATCAGGTCACATTTACTCTAAATTGGGATACTTAGATTAGCTTCCTGATTACATTTCTTACAGGTATTTAGTTATTGTAACCCTCCTAACTATGATGAGGGAAAGTTATAATAATAAACACACGTCTCCAGGTTTCACTTTGCCGTGCAGAAACACCCAGAGGAGCTGCGGGAGAAATGGGAACGTCTTATCTAAAAAAAGTACTTCACTGCAGTTCTGTTTAACTTAACCTCAAGACACCCCACCCCCCACCCCCCCCCCCCCCCCCCTCTCACATTGAGTTCAGCCAACAAAAATTTCTTGGTTCAGATTAACAGACGAGGCTGTTCCAGAACATTCCAGCGCATTTTTTTTACGAGGCTCAGGCAGTCTGCAGTGTTGCTGCTCTGAAGATGCAGAAAAAAACCTCCCCAGCTGAAGATGTGCCGGGAGAGAGACCTCATCTCAAACAAGACGTCTGCTTTACATTTCTGACTTCACACATCATAGATAACTGAGAGAGAGGAAGACTTCTCTCAGACAACCTGCACCATGACCTTCATGGCAGGAGACCAGGAGAAGAGCCAGGTGTTTAATACATTTTCCTAGTGGTCAAATGGTGGTACTACAACTGCCTCAAAGCACTTTCCCATTGACCTACATTGGAAAACAGCAATTTTACTTTGAATATCCATTAGCGTTCTAAAAGTTGAATAACTTGCTTAAAGGCCGAATCCAAGTTATTTTCCCTCTACATTCATTAGACTGAGCCGAAACCAGAAGCAAGGTAGCGGGTGGGAGGCGGGGCTTAGGTATGTGGGTGGGGCTTACATTTGGAGGTGGGGTCAAAGGATAAAGTGTGCATGCTCTATAGGCGCATTCACACCGCAGTACTTTTCCCACAAAGGTTCATGAGAACTTAGTTCATGAGAACTCTTTAGTTCTCATGAACTAAGTTCAGATCGCGTTCACATCGGAATAAGTCCCTGAGGGAGGATTAGGCAAATGAAGCCGCTGACGTCACTCTTCTTCTTCTTCTGCTTTGGGTTTACTGGCAGGCCGGCAAACCAACTTCATATACTGCCGCCCATAAGTCCCCGCCGGAAGTCCCC